CTGATTAAAGCGAGCAGCCGAAAACCAGTTTGGAAATGCCGCTGAGAGAGATGAAATGCATAAATTTTGGAATGCAATTTGGTAACTCATGTGGAATAATGCTCTTAGGACGCCACACACGAGCACAGGCCTGTGCATCTCAGTCACACACTCGCCATCTATCCATCCATCTCGCTCGCTCGCTCTTTGTGGCTGCATATGTGTGTGTGTGTGTCGCAAGAGACTCTGGTGGTGGTCTCTGGGACATTTGCATAAATATTGCCTGCCATGGAATGTCATCCATCCAAAATCCTTCCACACACATACACAGTTTCCATCTCTATCTCCATCTCTGTCACTCGCTGTTTCTGCGGCTTGCACTCGCTAGGTGGCGTTGTAATCAACTGTGTCAAAATGCCAGCAGAGCAGAGAGAAAGTCAAAAGTCTTTCGTTGGAAGGAGTGAGGGAATGGAATGGAAGCCAAGTGAAAACACATGGACACACTCTAGGGACATTTCTGTAGGAAATTTGAAGGCAGGTGAAGCATCACCACAGCTCAGCACAGCTTCAACTCAGACATTCTAAATTGAGGTTAAAAAACGAAACGAAACCAAAAAAAAGAAAAGGAAAAGAAAATAAAAACAAAACAAAAACAACAAATACACGGTCCAAGGCAGAAGCAGAAGCAGAAGCAGAAGCAGAGTGGCAGTAGAAGACGCAGCTGGAGGAGAGGCAAAAGGCAAGTGGTAAATAAAACAAGATAGAAATGAGGTGGGGTGGTTAGGCCAAAGCATTTGATACACTCATGCTGGCAGCAGCAAGGTCCAAGCTTGAAGTTTTATTTTATTTTTTATTGCATTTTGCCCCAAGCAGCAATGGGTGGGGTGAGCAGCAGGTAGCAGAGTAACATTTCTTGCAATATCCGTTATGCCCGAACTGCAAAAGAGTAGCAGCAAAGCAAGGCACTGCTGCGACGACAGGTAGACAGACAGACAGCCAGCAAGATGTGTCAAATCCCCAGCTCTCGAGCTCTCCCTCCCTCTCTCTTTCTCTCTCTTTCTCTCTGCCATTTGCTGCGTCACACGCTGCTGCGTTTCCTTTTTACTGTTTCTCTGCTGTTGGGGGTTGTAATTGACACTTAAACTGAAAATTAGAGGCACAATCGAGGCAAAGCGAGCAAGAAGAAGGATCGCGACTGCTTTGACACCCATCATTCATTCAGCGTACATAGAGTACATAGCTATACATACATTATATGTACATGGTACATAAATTATGCCAGACGCGCGGCGACTGTCTCCATTCATGCCACTGGCAAGACGTGAGGCTTTCAGCTAACCCTCCTTGTTGTTGCTGTCAAAGGGGCAAGTGTGAACGAGAGCAGGGTCGCCGACGCCCTTTGAAAGTGTAATGAGAGCAGGGGCCAGAAGCAGCAGCCAGAAGCAGCGTCATTTCAAGTGCCCGCATGCGGAAGTCTCTGCTGCTGCTGCTGCTCTGCTTTAAGCCTTTGCTTGCGTCACAGCAAGCGCCAGCGGGGCTGCCACACTCGTCCTGCCTACGGGAATGCCCACACCAGCCCGCTCTCTCTCTCTCTCTCTCTCTCTTGCCACCTGTTCTGTAATGAATTGTAATTTGAACAGACGCGAACGATGACAGCGAACATGAGTGTACAAGTATATGAGTACGTATCTGTGTGCATGCGTGTGTGTGTGTGTGTGTGTGTGTGTGTGTTGTGAGGCTGCTATTAACTTAAATTACGTAGCACACTTTTGTGAGCATCCTGCGGATTTAACGGCTGCTTCTATTTTTTCCTTCATCTACTGCTGCTCTGTGTGTGCCACAATAGCAAACGCATTAAAGTCGCACTCACACACACACACACCTGCACATGCAACACGAGAGTGGTGGGGGGTGTCTTTCTCCTTCTCTCTCTCTTGCGAACTGAACAAAAACCAGAAACAAGAGTCAGTGCCTCGCATCAGAGATGCCCCTTAACAATGTTTATCTAAAGTTAAGGTTATAGGAGGTAAATAAAATAAATGCCTGCATCTGGGAACCACACATTACCAATTATAGAGCAAGATATTCCAGCAAAAGATTTCCTTTCATGGCCTTAGAGATCAGAGATCGTAACTATTTCAAATGGTTCTTATTGGAAATTGAGAAACCAATATTGATCCATATTCCTCACACTTTTGGGGTGTTCCCCAACAACTTTAACAACGGGCTTGTCATGGGTTTTTTAGGCATATTTTTCTATATAGATAAAAGCATTTTTTGCTGGTTTAATGTGTGCCTTAGAATCACCCTGAAATAAATTACATTTCTAGCTGCAGCACTGCAGAAATTGGAACTAATATTTTTGATAAATTTGGTAAAAAATTAAAGTAGGAGGAGGGTATACGACGTACCCTCTACCTTGTACCAATTTGAGTGCTGAACGATGCCTTGATTAAAGTACAAAGTACAGCATACAAATATAAAGCAGAAAACAAAAAAAAACATGGTCTACCTCCCGGCCATACACAAACGGACTCCCTCACTCTGCCTCTCACGTAGCCGCTCCTGTGTGTGCATGTGGATGGAATGGACATTTGCATAGTTATGTTTTGTCAGTTAACACATGTAATACATGCTACATACATATTCACATATGTTTGCCATGGCAATGGCTTGCTTCAGTTGAAAAATGTGTGAGAGAAAAACACAGAGCTCGGAGCACACAGAAACCGAAACAAGGTGTAGAGAGAAACAAACACGCGCACAACTGTGGCGATTCTGGGAGAAGACTTGGCAAATTGTATTCGAAAATGTTCAATTTATGGAAATATTTTGCATACACTAAAGGGGAGCGAACACTGATTGATGCTCGATGGTTGATGCCTGATGGGTTGCACCTCCAAATGTTTACTCGTAAATGTATGTTAACACAGGCAATGGCTGAGGTCGATGCTGATATTGTATATCCTTTTGCTCACTAATTAGAGCTGCTGCCATACAAAATATATATCGAGTAGCAGTTGCAACCAGCAGCTGCATTGTTCGTACTTCGACTCGTAATTTGCATGGAAATGCCATGGAAACGCTTCGATGGATGTTTAAATCTTTGCATTCTGTTTGATTTTGTAGTGTATTGAAATTGTTGAGCAAACGCTCCAATTAGGGTAAAGAAGAGAGAGAGAGAGAGATGGAGAGAGCAATTTGCTACTTTGTGAAAAAAACTGTTGAGAAAAACATCTGCACAACAGCATCATTAAATGCTGTGTAAGCACAAGGCCCACTTGAATGGAGGTATTAAATCAGTCCAAAATAAGCAAATAAAAAGGACAACCCACAGACCAAAACGAACCGCACCGCACTGGACTGGACTGGACTGGACTCTATGAAGGACCTGCCTTATGATGATGCTGCTGCTGCTGCTGCTGCTGCTGCTGTGGCAATCGATGCCTTTTGAAGTGCTTCCCAAAGCGGCTTTAACTGTTAAGAGCCAACCGCCAGAAGGTCAATAGAAGCCCAACGGAGCAATGAAACGAAGCAAGGCAGCAAAAAAAGTTCTCCCGAACGCAAACAGAATGGCCAAATTTGTGTGGAAAATACTTAAAAATGATGCAAAATAAGCAGCTGGGGATGGAAACTGATACAATAACGGCAGACGATGGCCATCCAACCAGCTCTGGGGCTGTGGACTCTCAGCTTATGACGAATGAATGAATGAAGCCGAAAAGTGTAAAGAAATTTGAAAAACAGGCTTAAAAATGAGAAAACTAATTGAGGAAAAAGAGGAGAAAGCGTACAGTTTGTCCACTAATTGCATCGAATGCTTGTGCCAAAAATGAATGTAAATATGTAGTCCCCTTGGGCACACACTGTTGTCGTTTATGGAAGTTGCGGTTAAGGCTAACAATTGGTCCGGGTAAACGGTTAAAGCGCTGCGACAGGTGCGAATGACGGAAACGGAAGCGGAAACAAAACGTTGCACTTGGCATCCGGCAACCAAAATTCAACAACAACACCCAAACATGGAAGGGAGAGGAAGAGCAAACCCCAAAAAACAAACCGCAACGATTAGGAACATTTTGGCAACATCCGTTGGCAGTGCTTTTCGGGTACTCCATTCCACAACAACAACAAATGTGTCACATGCCCCGTAAAAACATCAAACAAGAAATGACTTGGGCAGAACCAAATAAACAGCGACAAGCTCCTTCGATTGCTGCAAAATCTTCAGATTTATGTTTCCAGCATTTAAACTTTACTGAATTTATTTTGTTAAAGTTAACTGCATAAAAAACAAACTGGAAAGAGTCGAAGGAGTCTCAAGAAAGGGCACTCCCTGGACCTTTGTGGCTTGCAGCAGCCCCACTGCCATGTCTCACGAGTGCCTCTCGTATTGAATTTAATTTAGGGTCTGCTTCTGCTTCGGCTTCTGCTTCCGCTTCTGCGAAAGACAAATACTTTTTAATTATTTATTTATGCATATGCCCGAGGGGGGAGCGAAGACCCGGGACAGGGCTCGACTCTGCCTCATTAACAAAACAAATGACAGCCCCATTTTAGTTGTGCCACTCGGTGTGGTGTGGCAGACAGCTGGGCGCCCAATTGTTGCCACACACTCGCGACCTTCGCTCGGCAGGCGAACAACAATGAACGCGACACACCCACACATGCCAGCCACAGCCACAGCCACAGTCACAGTCCCAGGCTCACGCGCTCCCTTGGCAGCTCAGCCTCTGGGCACGCACACTCAAGTTGCGTATACGCAGCGTTGTCCACCCCTTGCTGCTGCCCGAACATGGAATGACAGGCAAAGTGAAAAAATGGCTAAGGGAGACTCTGGCGCACGCATTAAAGGATAAGAATAAGGATTCGCTGCGAATATGTTAATTGTGCTGCGTGTTGCTGCGGGGAATGTGCCTTAAGCTGCTGACAATGAATGATAATTCACTTATAGATTGATGAGGCGGAACAGGGCCTGTGGATCGATAAGATTCATGAGCAGCGAGAGGCGGGAAGGCAGTCAGTTAACACAAACTCAATGGCCGTATGGCCATCAATATCCTGGCCACATTGTCCCTGAGCACCGGGCTCATTGTGCGCTGCTTCTCGAGACTCGCCGGCTGCGCGTGTGCCTGGGAGAGTTGATAGAGATCCGCATAGTACTCCATGCCGGCAATGCCCACCGCATTGAAGCTGGCCGACACCTCGGTGCAGTCAATGATCGAGGTCTTGAGCGGCGTCACCAGCAGCGTGGAGTAGTACGGCACCTTCTTGCCCTCGATGAGCTCGCGGACGAGCAGAACGGCGGTGCGTGAGCCGGCCAGCAGGTTCCAGCGGGACCAGCTAAAGTTGTGCGATTGGGCGAGGGTCGAGAGGCAGGCGTAGCAGTGCATCTCCATCACGTAGTTCTTCTCGCAGGAGCCCTCCGTATAGCAGAAGGCATCCTCATCGGGGAAGATGTCCACCGCGGAGAGTATCAAGGTGGCTTTTAGCTCTGACAGCGACAGCGTCTTTCCGATCATCTCGGTGAGGCCCTGGGTGCTGCCGCCCTGGAAATTGTTGACCGTGTAACCCGCCGCGCTGATGGTCATGTCCAGGCTGATTAGCGATGCCGTAAAGCTAAACAGAATGGTGCCAGGACTGCAAAAAGGATGGCACAGAACATGTCAGGGACTTGTCTGCTATTGGGCATTTTTGTTGACTTGCTTTTTCATGTCTGGTCGCAGGTCCCAGGTCTGGTAGGGCATGTTGCTGTATTTGTTCAACGCAAAGCCAAAGATGCCTAAGCGAGATGCAGAATAAGAGAGGAAAGGTATGCCCTGCACTGCTCTGCACTCACCCAATCGTCCTGTGCGAAACTGTATCGAGAGCTTGTCCTCGTTGAACTTTGTGTCGTGCACATCGCGAGTGCTCCACTTGCCCTGAGTGATGGCCGCCGTGCTGCTGAGCTTCTGCCTGCGCCTGGAATAGCCAGAAGAAAGGAGTGGGGCAAGCAGTTCCAGGATGCTTAAGTATGCAGGAGGGACTCCCACTTACATCTCACTGTCGCTGTTCTCGCTCTGACTCTGGCCGGTGCCAGAGGCCAGCAGCAGCTCGTGCAGCGTGTTGCCCGCCGTGGAGGCGCCCTCCAGCAGCTCCAGCAAGCTGTCGACATCCTCGTCGTCATCCTCGCTGCTGTCCTGGCCATCGGCTGGCTGCTTGGCGTTCGCCTTCTCCGTATCTGAGTCGAGCGGCAGCTGCGAGTCGCGCACAAAGGAGATGCCCGTGTAGTAGGCAAAGGCAGCGGCCGCTGCGGCTGGCTGCAGGACATCCACCAGCTCCTGGCTGAGCGGCTGTATGGCATCCGCGTCCTCCGTGTCCAGCTGCTGCTGCTCCCCCGCCTCGCTGCCCGCGGAGCCAGTGGGCGAGAGATGCTCCGAGATCTGCTGGATGAGCTCCTCCTGCTGCTCGCGCGGCAACTGCAGCCGCCACAGCCGGTCCATGTCCTCAATGAGCTGCGAGAAGAGGTAGCCACAGGGCAGCACAGGAGCAGCCTGGCGGAACTTTAGCAACTTGTCAAAGCACAGCGGCGGAAACATCTCTGCCGGCTCCTCAGTGTCCAGGAAATCGGCCCCAATGCCCAGGCCCAGCTGCAGCTCATCCGAAGTGTCGACCTCGAGTGCAGTCTGTCCCTGACCCTGACCCTGACCCTGACCCAAAGGCTGACCCAGCCGCACGTGGGTCTGGCGGGCGAGGAACATCACCCGGCGGCGACGCTGACCCGAGCCGGACTCTGCCGGCGTCGTTGCCTCGAGGCGCACACAGAAACCCTGCGGCAGACGCGGCACCACAAACTCCTTGACCAGCCCGTACAGGTCGACGTCGCTGGGTATGGCACGCAGGTCAAAGTCCGTGATCTCGCGCAGCGCCTGCTGTGGCTCCGATGTTGACTTTTGGGGCCGCAGGCGCGCGGCCGGACAGCGGGGCGAACTCTTTAGCGGACTGGGCTGGGCGTTGGTCGAGAGGGGCGTGGCCTCCGTGGGTGTGGCTGTGGTGGCAGCAGCTGCCGCATCCATGGGGGCAGTCGGCGACGGCTTCATGCCATCGGCCAGCTCCATTTCGAGCGTTTCGATGTGCGTCTCCCAGCGGCAGGCGACGGGCGGCTCGAACCAGATGACAGAATCGGGTAACCTACCGAGTGGGGGGGAAGGTAAGAATAGGTGGAAGAGACTTCTGCGAAATGGTAGATGGACCCACTGCAGCGTGACCAGCGCCAGCTTATCCAGCGCAGACTCAATCATTCGCATCTCTGCTTCGATTTCCTCGGGCAATCGTCGCACGCCGGGCAGCACCGGTGGCGGTGGCTTGTAGGTTTGATAGTAGTCCTTGAGCACCAAACTGTTGGCACAAGTAACTGAAGGGAGAAGAGAAGAGAGTGCAGTCGGAGTACGGAGTGGGGAGCATCATCTCTGTGGCCTACTTGTTCTTATAAAGGAACGCGCATTGAGCTGCTTATCCTGTTGCGGCGTCTCGAGAAAGTCAATGCAGTAGACGCCACCGATGATGCGATATTTGCGCAGATTCACATCCGTCTCGAGCATGCCATATGCCTCTGGGCCAATGGCCCTGCGATGCGCACGACTCAGCTCATCCTCGTACTCCGCATACAACTTGTCCACGTCGTAGGTGCGCTCTCGCGTTGGCTGAGAGCTCGCCGAGTGCTGCTCCTGCGTCAGTTGCTCCAGCTCTGACAACGGAATGTCCCGGCCACACTCGTCCAGCATGGCCTGCAGGATCTCTTTGCGCTTGCGCCACTCGCGTTTCGTTTGCCGGAGGATATCTAAAGTGCAAAATGGATAATCGTTGGCATGGGAATTGGCTTCCATATTCTGTTCCTCCTACTGGCATTCTCGGAGCGTGCATGCTTCAGTCGATAGCTGCTGCAATAGTCACTGAAATGATCATAATTCAGCCACAGTCCACGCAGCGCCGAACTCTGCAGGCGCACTGTCGGTGGCAGCGAAATTTGCATCTCGATGGTGGGAAAATCAATCTCATTGTGTGCCGATTGTTCGCCAATGCGTGCCTTCGGGTTGATGGCACTGTCGGGGCAGGCAAGAACAGAAAGTCAATTGATTTGGGGGCAGTCTTTAGACTTACATTTGTGCATCCTTCGAGAAGGTCCACACAAAGCTCTGAAAGACATCCGAGCTGTAGATGTGCTTCGAGACGCCTGGTCTATCGATTCTGTGGCGGAAAAAGAATCAGCAAATAATGCAAATAACTCAATCCTTATCCTCAATCCGATACTCACTCCATATCGCGCTCTATGTGGGACATTGTCTTGTAGGTAAACTCATCCAAATGCTGTCGCAGAAAGACTCGCATCTCCGTCTTAAGTTTGGCCAAGTCCGCTGCCACATGCACCGAGCGCTGCCTGAAGGGCAACATCTCGTCCAATTCGCTGAGAATCTGTGTGCCAAATGTTCAGTGAGTTATCTCTCGAGTGGTCCTGCAGACTCACCCCCAGCACCTCCTTGATGCGTTGGGCATAGACATCACCGAGTCGTCCTTGTTGCTGGCGTAGCGAGATGCGCGTCAGATCTGGCACCTGGGCATCCTGCGTGAGCAGCGTTCGCTCGTCGGTGCGCAGCAGCCAGTTGCGTGCCACACGCTGCCGCTGTGCAATATCCGCATGCCACTGATGGATGTACTTGCGCAGATCACTCGGACTGGCGGCATTCGGCAGTCCATTGCAGCGCATAAATTTCTCCCAATCCCGTTCGTGTCGCTCCCCATCCTTGATGGCTTCGATGGCCGTTCGCACTCCCTCAAAGAATTGCATGCTGTCCTTGAGCTGTGATCTGCGTTGCCGATTCTCTGCCACCTCCTGCTGCTGACGATGCTTGGCCTGTTCCATTTCGAGTTTCTTCCGCTGCCGTGCCTCCTCCAGTTTCTTGAGTCTGTTGTAAGGGAATGGGCGAGGGATTATCGCAGGCTTAGCTGAAATGTGTCCTGGCGCTCACTCACTTTTCCTTTTCCATTTCGATGCGCAGCAGCTCGGCCTGCTCCGCCTCCAGGCGTGCCTTTTCCTTCTTCGAAAGCTTCTTCTTTGGTGGCTATAAGTAGATGGGAGCTGGAGCATAATCTTTCTCTTCATAATTGACTCTCCGAGTGAGGATTTCATGACCTACCATCTTGGACTGCTGCCGCTGCTGCCGCTGCTGCCGCTGCTGCTGCTCTCTGTGGCAAATGGCAACTGGCAACTGGCAACTGGTGTCGCTGGTGCCTGAGGCAACACCATGACCCTCATTCCTTATTGATTCAACACCACCATCGCCTTGGTTACCTGTTGTTACCTGCCCCATTGCTGGGGCAACTACCCCTGCAACTCTGCGTCCTGCTCCGACTGTCATCCCTTTGCCATAATTTCCTTAATTAAATATTCAACGAGAGAGCTTAGTGGCGGCTACAACTGTGTGTGTGTGTGTGTGTGTGTGTGTTGGCCCCCGGGGCAGGTGACAGGATTTGCACGTCGCACGGTGATGCTGCAACACCAGCTGACACCCCCCGACACACCTCGCTGTCTCGCAGCCAGGTTAAACGTTTGTTCATCAACCATTTCGTGATTATTTCTGCCTGTCGATTCCTTTCCCTGACATCCCATACCGAAATCTTGATGAATAGAGCTTCCCCTTACAGATGGACATCACAACCCAAGAGGACACCTATCAAGGATAATTGTTTCATATTATTCGCAAGTTTTCTTCACATTTTTTTGGCAGTGATTCATCGTACGATGAGTGTGATTTTCTTTGGCATTCTTTATAATTGTTCTCTTCTTCAGAATCTCCCAATGCTTTAGGCTAATTTGAGGCTAAAGTGTAAACTCATTTTGGTTGGAACTTTCCCTGACATACTCACTCCCCTTAGCACTTATTTGCCTCTACCTCACTGACATACCTTTGCTTCAGCCCATCTCATCTTTCCTCTGCCTTTCTCTATCCATAAAACTTTCCCATTTCATTTTCGCAGCCTTTGTCTTTCCCTTTTCTCTCTCCAATGTGTGCAAAAGTTTTTGCCTGGGTCTACAATTTTGAGATTAAATTCAAGGGGCTTCCTGCTTTGAGGTGTCCGGTGGACAACGTCGCTTACTTAATTGCCAGACAATTTTAAATGCTCGCTGCCATCAAAGGATAGGCTTCAGTTTGGTTCCTAGGGATTATGTGGGCTGGTCCTTTTGACTTATCAATTTAATGGCCGTGACATTAACCCGCAACAGCACCTGCACCTGCCCCGTATGAAATGTCAAAAACGGGAGAGAAACCGCCTCAGGATGTGTGGAGTATTTGATCCTTTTGCGCATGGCGCAATCTTTGTTGCAAATTGAACAGAAGATGGAAATGGCAGTGGCAATGGAGGGTGCACGTGTCATATAATGCTTCGTAATTTGTGCAAAATAATGTCTACACATTGTATGGCAGCCGGTTGTTATGCCAATAAAGCCCCAAAAACCCGCCTGCTGGCTGCTCCTGGATTGGGACTAAGTACTCTAAGGATTGGGCATGGCTACTGGCTATGGCGTTGGGCACAAACAGAGACACTTGGCAAGTGGCTGCACAATAAATATATATCATACGCACCGTTGACGTTGACAGATAGCCGTTCTGGTGACGCGGCAAGCGACAGGCGACAGGCGACAGGGAACAAACTGTGACATAAGTTGCAGCCACCAGTTATCACACAATGGGCTGCTGTCAGCGGTGCTGACGATCCTTAGAATTTGCAGCAGTCACCAGGCACCACACCACAAGACACCATGCCATGCCACCATCTTTGGTATCCATCTCCTGAATGCCTCACGCTCGAGTGAACTCTGCAGTCTGACAAAATTGGTGAATGGAACAGGAAGCGCAAGAGGGAGAGAGTCTGTGGCAGAGATGAGTTTCGCTCGCTTAACCCTTCCGCAGACTCTTGGCATAATTGCTACATGCCGTTTGTTTGGCCAAAAGTATAAGTTCTTCACCTCCAAAGAAAGACTGCATAAGGGCTGTTTGAGTGAATAAAATAAACAGTTGAAAGTTGAAAGAGTTGCAGTTGCAGTTGAAGTTTCAGCCTGCATGGGCATATCCACTCTTGGACTCTCACATTTTGCACATCTTTTCTGGGCAAGCAGCACATTCGCGGGTTAACGCGACCTGCAATACAATTTATTCCCTCTCCTCAAGCGTGCTCCAATTCATTTTCATTTCCATTTACCATTTTCCATGTATTTTCTGGTGACTTTTTTTCGGTCCATTATTTTTTCTTTTTTTTTTTTGTGGCTGCCTGACAAATTGCTGCTGCTACTGCTGCTGCTGCTGCTGGTCTTGGTCTTGGCCAACAGATGCTACGTTTTTTTTTACCGAGTCCTGGCTGCGCTTGCCTGACATGTCCTCATCCGGACAAATTTCGTTTGCCTTCTAGACGGCAATCACACATACTGAGATAGAGAGAGAGAGAGAGGCCACTGAGAGTGTTGCGATTATTAATTACCCTTACATGTGTGTGTGTGTGTGTGTCTGTGTGCGCTGTCCAGCTGCAGGCCAGTGCCTGGGCCTCGGTCTGGTCCCCAATCTTGATCCCCATTACCATTTTCGATTTTATAATTATGTATTCTGGACTGCTGGGTTGCTGGCTTATATCTAGTGTCCAACTGGGTGAGAATGACTTTGGGCCCTGACAGCCAACCGCCGCCCCAGTGGGAGGCAGACGATGACGATGACGATGAGGATGGCATGGCAGGATGAGCGCCACAGTGCCACAGTGTCACAGAGTGGCAAAAGTGAGGCGAGCCGGAATGGTTTCTTAATGTGCTCACAGCGACGTTGATGGCATTGCAAATGTGCACACGCTCCAGTCCTTCAGTCCTCCAGTCCTCCAGTCCCTCATCCAGTTTTGCTCCTTCGAGTGCTTAGCAGACGACCAACCGAGGACCTCCCTCCTTTTATGTTCGCTGTCAGATTTGGCAGAGAGAAACAACTGCTTAACGCCATTGGAAGGGAAGATGGAGGATGGAGGATGAAGTATGGTGTGGTGTGTTTCATAGGTGTGTGTGGTGTCGGGGCTTCTACTTCCCCTTGGGTTAGATTGAAAATTGCAAATGGCGAGTATCTATATAGACAGAAATTCCCTTAAGCCAAGCCAAATGATTATTCTCGTGCCGAGTTGATGATCAGATTTCGTTGACATAATTGAACTGATGAAGAGAATCCTTTGTCCATGCCACATTTTGTGTGTTGTGTGTGCCATCAGTGTCTCTCTCGCCTCAAGGGCCTCTTGTCTCGCACTTGATGCATTTTATTTGTACCGTAGAAATGTCTCCAATAATTGCAATTCAATTTACTCAAGGACATGGCTAGGACTCATGTGACTCTGCTCCGTAATGAAGTGTAATGAAAGTGGCTTTTGCCTTGGGACTGTGCTTTTTCAAACACATAATTTAATATTGCTTAAAATATTTATATTACAATTATTTATTAATATTATGCCTTTCTTCTCTCGTTTTCCCGCAGCTGCCTGTGCACGCAAAATCTCATATCGTCGTTTAAACGTCTTTCCTATCCTATGAAGTATCAACTACCAGTCCTCAAGGCTACGGGACTACACAATTGCAAAGCCACAACTACAAAACCAACCGAAGAGCAATCGCAATTAAAAATTTAAATCTTCAACAAACAGACACACATTTGACCCCAAAGAGTGACTAGATCCGTGGAGAGCTGGGGATACGATGAAGATAGCTCCACAGATTGCTGAGTGTGGCCATGGGCGTGTCATATCTGTATCTGAAAGATCTAGTAACTGGCCGACATTTCCACCCCAATGAATGAGCTGAGAGCTTAATCAATTCGCTGATCTATGCTGACAAGTACTAGCAATCTAACGGCCAACTGCCAACACTGACCATTAACCAACACTGGTGGGCGGGCAGCAGCACTGCCCAACACTGACGATCGGCACCAATCAGAGCGCTCGCAAGGAAAGAGACTACACACTTTCGGAGGGAGTCTTAATGCTATCGGGACATCCCTTTCGACCGAAAATTTGGCCAAGGATAAATTTAGCTAGAAGATAAATTATACAAGCAAAAGCAAAAGAAAGAGCCGAGGGACGATAAGGATGACTTTTGCATACACAAAATTGAAACAATAATTAGAATTAAAATTGAGACAAACATTCGCTGAAAAACAAACAAAAAAACAAAACACTAAAGGAGATAATGAAAACGCCCATTGTGATTCTTAATTTTAGACATTAGGCCAACAGAAAAGCAAAAAGAAACTCAACCAAAAACTAAAAGCAAAAGGGAAAAGCAAGAGGAAACGAAAACCAAGGATAAGAAATAATCCAGCGAATGTAATAAGAATGATATTAAGCAAGGAGAAGGCAGGAACAGCGCAGGATCAGGATCATAGAGCGGCAGTCTAAGAAGAGATAGAAACACGACCAAACAAAGGCTACTGTGGGCGAAGGAGTAAGAGAGCGAGAGAGAGAGAGTATGCAATAGCAACGCCAGCCGCCCAAAAAGGACAACAACAATTCAAAGTTTAATTCCATCCAAAAGCGAACGGGGAAGCAAAAGCACGGAGGCAAAAGGGACAGGCGTCTCAGTCAATCTCTGAATAACATTTCCTCAACACGACAAAAAGGAAAAGCAACTGCAAACAGGATCAATTGAAGCTGACAGGCTTCGTCCTCGTCCTCGTCTTTGATCCAGAGCACCGAACCCCAACAACAGACCAATCGCGAGTGATTTGCAATTTTTGTGGTGTTTTTTTTTGTGTTTGGTTTTGGTTTTGATTTTGATTGGAGGCTAACGCTGTTAAAGCTGCTACCACTGCCACAGTCAGAGTGCAAAGAGTGCCGCCGCCAAGATGACTATGTGGCAGAGTGGCGGCATGGGAGGCCATGGCTCCCAGAACAATCCATGGATGAAGCTGATGGGCATCGTGCACAAGGAGCGACGCCACACCGAAAACGTCCAGAGTCAGTCCGGCTCCAACGAGCGCAATCTTAATCAGTAAGTACAATAAAAAACAACAGAAAATACTATAAATATACTGAGTCCCAGAAAAATACCATAAATAATACCGGTGAATACCAGATAAAATACTAGAGGCAAAAAATGGCTTCTAAATGGCATTAAATATAAATTCCGACTCCTAAATGGATTCACGAACGAATGGAGAATGCTAAGGGAAACACAACGGAAAAGGGATGAGAATGTTGATGAGGAAAAGAGAAAGAAGGAGACAGATGGAGAGGGAGGTTGAGATTGAGAGCAAACGTGCAAGCAAAAGCTGAAACTTTTAGAGTTAAGTCTTGCATCTGCAGTGACAAAAAAAAAGAGAGAGAAGAACAAGTCCAGAGATAAGTGCGCTGCAACCTGGTTAGGTTCCACGCCCCACTGTTCCTTCGCCTGGCGCTGCCACAGGCCACCTACAGCTGCTGCTCCTGCCGCGACACCATTCAGCCATCAATAAGCACAGTTTTGCATACTTAGGTACATACATAGTGGCAATGCTGTGGGTTGGGAGAGGGCAGCCCATGGCTACGTGCTAGAGCGCAAGAATGTTTGACACTGCTTGCGCACGAAAGTATGCAACGGCCAGTGCTGCCACGCCCTCAGCCCTTGTCTCTGTGTGTGTGTGTGTGCTGCTGAATATCGAATGCGATTGTGATGGTGAATGTGAATGTGAATGTGTATGGTGGGATGCCATGTTATGCATATTGGTCGTAAAACATGAGCCAACTGCGCAATTAAATGGCCCGCAATGCAAATGGAATGCCCCAGGACATGGACATGGTCCACCCAAATACAACAGCAACAACAACATAGAAAAGATTGACCTACGCCTACGCCTATCCCACCCACCAACTGATTCCGTTTTCTGCTTCTATTTACCACACATCAACGCTGAGGACAGAGCTGCACTCGGATT